CCTCCGTGACTCCCCGCAACTCTCCGGGTGCTCTGCAGGGGAGAGTGTGCGCACCCCGGCAGCGAGCCCCGGCCCCAGGAGCCCACCCTCCACCCCTCTTTCCGACCGCACGAGCCACCCCACCCACCACGCGCGCCCCGAGCGTTTCCACCCTCACACTTGCGCTGCAGGCGGTCCTCTCTCCCGGGATGCCTGCTGCCCTCTCGCCGCCGACCAGAGCCCCGTCGCCTTGCGGCCTCAGCTTGCAATGCCTCCTCCAGGGAGCCTCCGGGGAAGCCTGGCCCTCCCCCTCCGGCCCTGCTCCCGCTGCATTCTGGGTTCCTCTCTGACTGTCCTAGATGGAAGTTGTCGGGGACGAGCCCGGCCCTCGGTGCTCCTTTCTGCCTCCCTGCAGGTGGGGGCGGGGAGGCCCTGCAGCCCGCTGCCCGGGAGGCTCTGCGGCGGAGGCTGTAGCGAAGGCCCCGCTCCAGCCACAGGTGTAGATCTGCAGAAGGGGCCCGGAGGCCTTTACTTTTCCCGGGAAGAACGCTCGGAGGAGAGCAGGTTGGGGGAAGCTACAAGCCCTGTCCTTCCTGGGTGCCTTGAGTGGGTGACCTGGGGGACCTGCAGCAGGAGGTGTCTGGACTGCTGGAGCCAAGCTCCCAGCGACTCCCCGGGGCCCTCAGGTTGAAGTCTCAGCTAACCCCCTGGGGCCTGCGGAGCTGGGATAACCTGGCCCTCGCCCACCTTTGCAGCCTCACTGCTCTCTCTCCATACTCCCCGCCCCCCACTCCCTTCCCTGCTCCTTCATTTTGTTTTTAATTTGTGCGCATTTCTTCTCATTTGTACCTCGTGCTTGTAACGTCGGTACAGCTGCATATAGTTTCAGTTTACACGAGAGGCGTTCGGTTCTACATCTCATTACGTTTCTTCCAGCCCCACCTCTACACTCCCACCCCACACCCTTGATAAAGTTGTTAGGGTGTGTTCTGCTCAGCGGCTAGAGCTCAGGGAGTGAATTGAATGGGCCTAGTGAATGTGTACAGGGAGGCGGGGCTCAAGGTGAGGACAGGGCTGGAAGTGGAGATGGGTCATCAGCATAAGGCTCATACCGTGAAGCCATGGTTTGTGGCTGAGACGGCTCAGCAGGGAGTTTAAAGGCTGCAGAGCTGGGTGTCAGTTGCTAGAGAAGACTCAGTCCTTAGGGCTACGATGCCCACCACCATCCCCATCAGACACTGAACTACGCTGTCCCTGTGGCTGCTGGTTGCAGACCTTGCTGGTCCCCAGGAATTTTTCTTTCACTGCCTCCTTCCTGTCTCTAATCCTCTGGCCAGGTCCCCAGGAGAACGGGTGTCTCGGACCTAGAGTGGAATTCTGCTTTCCCTCTCTCTCTCTCCCTCCCTCTTTCAGTCTTCCAACTTATAAAATGGGGAGCACTGAACTAGAGAACCCCACCAGCTTCCACATTCCTTGAGCTAGAAGACCCTGCCTGCTGATGAGGGAACTGGGCCAGGTTGAGGGCTAGAGTTCATGAGCGTCCCTCAGGCTGCCTAGGTTTGCATCCTACGGGGCTGTGTATTGGGGAAACCAGACCCAACAGGTGCCAGGGCAGGGAGTTGGCAAGGGCTGGATTGGGGGCTTAGAGCTGGGAGCCCAATGGGTGACGGGGCTTGGGGGCAGGAAGAGAAGAAGAGAGTAAGGGAAAATATAGGAGAGTAAAAAGAATCAAATAAGTGACGTGTTTTCTCCAGAAAAGCATCTCCCTGTCCTGGGATGGGCTCACCAGATGTTGCCCAGATGTTGGCGGTGATGGAAAACATCTCCCTCTGGGATCCGAAGTAAGTTCTTCCTGTTGGTGGGGAAATGAAGGGTCTGTTCCAAGGCAAGGAGGGCGGGGTCTGGAGCAGCATCCATCTATGACCATGGCACATACATAGGCAGACACGCCCACACATCCTCAGGGAACTGCTGAATACTTAGGAGAGTCCCACAAGTTTCTCAGACATTCCGCATCCATGGACCACCTGTTTTAGGTAAATAAAAAAAATGACTAGTTTTAAATATTTTTTAAAATTAAAAATTACTGATGAGTTCCATCAGAAAGACTAAAATTAAAAGGACAATTTTTTTTAAAAGTAGCAAATGTAGCAAGATTGAGAATTAACCACATTCATTCTATATTGTTGGTGGGAGGGTGAACTGATACAGTTTGGAAACTAATTTGGCAGTACCCACTAAGACCAAACATAGGTAAACTCTATGATCTTATAGTTTTTTTCCTTGGTATATACCCAAGAGAAAAAAGGTGTTTATGTCCACCAAAAGACACAAGAATGTTATAGCAACTTTATTCATCATAGCCTAAAACTGGAAACAACCTTAATGTCCAAACCGTAAGTGGAAACAAATTGTGATTATGATGGAATATTACACAGCACTGAAGAAGAACAAACAGTTGCCTCATACAATGACAGGGATGAATCTTTAAAACTATATTGAGTAAAAGAAGCCAACCACAAAATAGGAATAACTGTGATTCCAGCTATTTATATGAAGTTTAAAAACAGGCAAAACTAAAGCACAGTGATAGATAACATTACCTTAGGGAGTATTGACTGGAAAGGGCCACAAGGCAGCCTTCTGGGTACTGGAGATGTTGCATATTTTGATCTGGGCAGTGGTGGGACAAGTATGTCCATATGTAAAAAGTCAAGTTCTACACTTCAGATTTATTCACTGTATGTAAGTTTCGCCTTGATAAGAGGAAGGGGAGGGAATGACAATTGATGCCCTTGTTTTCAGCTGTCCACCAGAAAGTCTACCTCCTGACCAATGAGGGATACCTGGGGTCACAGGTCACGTTCAACTGTTTAGGTTTCTCTCTGTTTAAATCAGTGGAGCGGGTAAGAATTTTATTCAACTGTGATTCTTAGGTTGCAAGGATCTGCATGTTATTTTGTATCTAAGAGTTTTATAGTTTGAGTTCTTACATTTAGGCCTTTTATTGAAGAGCTCACAATCAAATCAAAGCAGCCGGCTCCTCAGAAATTCAACCTTAGCAGGGACACTGTCCCATGTGCTGCCTCAACCCCACTGCCTCCAAAGCTTGTCTCTCAGATGGAGACGCCTTTCTCTGTTCAGGGTGGCCTGGCGCTCTGATTTTTCCATCCATGCTGCCTGCTCGTGGCTAATGCGCCCCTTATCCCAGCCTGTGGACTCACTCAGAGTAGGTGGTGGCTCTCTTGATTGTAGCGAGGGAAGGGAGGAGTCTTTAGTGAGGCTGGGAAAGGGAACAAGGCCCTGTCTCCTTAGGATGCTCAAACATCCCTCTCTGGACAAACCCGCCCCTCCAGTCCTGGGAAGAGTCCTGTCCCTCCACTTTGCCTCTTCCCCCTTCCACTCAAAGGAACTTACCTCTCCAGACCCCTATCCCTCCACTCACCCTAATCCTTAAAGGTGTGGCTCCCAGACCAACAGCATTAGCATCGCTGGAGAACTTGTTAGAAATGCAGATTCTTGGGCCCTCCCCAAACCCACTGAATCAGAAACTCTGGTATTGAGGGCCCAGCAACTTGTCTTCTAACAAGCCCTCCATTGATTCTGGTGCACATCAGAGTTTGAGACCCACTGAGCTAATAAGGCCTTGGAGAGCAAAACCCTGGCAAGGGGACTGTCTTCAAGCACATTTCTTGGACATTCTTGTTTATCTAAACTGGAAGACATTTGAGTGTGGATCTGCGGATTAAAACGCTGAGCTGTTGAATTCTGGGTCAAAGGATTTTGACAGATGTTGCCAAATGCCCTCCCCAAAGTTGCACCCATTTCCCTCAACCAGTAGCATCTGAGCATGCCTCTTTCCCAACACCGTCCCTGGCACTAGGTCTTGTCAAACTTATGGATCTCTGCCAATCTGATAGGAGAAACAAAGAAGATATCTTACTGCTTTAACTGGCATTTCTCTAATTATGAGTGAAGTTGAGACTTTTATAAGCCATTTGTTTTTCTCTCTAAATGCTGGTTTATATTTTCTTATTTTGTATTGGCTGTTTTAAGTCTTTGAGGATTGAGGGAATGAGCTCTTCTGCCTGTCACACTTATTCCTGTTTGTTTTTACATTGATTTATAGTATGTTTCACCACACAGAAGTTTTAAATGTTTATATAGTCAATTGAGGGATCCTCATTTTCTATCATCATATTATAAATCAATTCACCTATTCTTTTCTCTAGCATTTTATGACCTTATTTTTAATATATAAATCCTTTACCCATTTGGAATTTATTTTGACATAAGGGATGGAATAGAGTTCCCACTTTACTTTTCCTCCACATGATCAGTTAATTTTCCTACCACCTTTCTCTTCTAATTTAAATGCTCCCTTAAACAGAAATTGACTTCTCATGTGTGGTGGAATCTGCTTCTGGCTCTCTGTTCTGGCCCACTGGATTATCTATTTATTTCATCTTTAAGTACCAAAATGCTTTACAAATTATAATTTCATAATGTGTTTTATCATCTGATAGGTCTAGTCCCATCACGTTACTTTTCTTTTTCAGAGATTTCCTGGCTCTTATTTATTTCCATAGTTGAGTTTCTTATCATATTTTTTTTTTTTTTGACAAGTTCTCCACCTTACAAACAAATCCTATGAGTGTAGTTGACTCTTAAACAACATGGGTTTGAACTTCGCAGGTTCCCTTATATGGGGACTTTTTCAATAAATGTACAGTCTGTCCTTTGTATCCTCAGGTTCACATCCCAAGGTTCAACCATCCGCTGACAGAGAACAGTATTTTCCACCCGCGGTTGGAAGTCTGCAGGTGTGGAGGGCTGACTATGCGCCTTGTTCTGTGCTGTTTTATATAAGGGGCTTGAGCATCTGCAGATTTTGATATCTGCAGAGGGTCCTGGAATCAATCCCCTGTGGATACTGACGGAAGACAATTGTTAAGTTTTGGGGGAGTCAAAAGTTATACTCAGATTTTTGACTGCAAGGAGTTGACACCCCTAACCTTACTTTGTTCAAGGGTCAATTATTTTAATTAGAATCACACTGAATTAAAAGATTAATTGAGCACTGATATTTAAAAAATATATTTATTTATTTTGAGAGAGAGAGAGACATCGATTTGTTGTTCCACTTATTTATGCATTCAGTGGTTGTTTCTTGTATGTGCCCTGACCCGCAACCTTGGCGTATCGGGATGACACTCTAACCAACTGAGCTACCCAGCCAGGGGTGCGCTGACATTTTAATAATAGAATGTTCCCTGTATAACTTTAATATTATCTTTGTAAAGGCCCTTATATGTCTTTTAAATATTGTTCTGAACATTTTATCTTTTTGAGTGCTATTGTCACTTCGGTTTCCTGCTGTTATGTATTCTGATAAGTTGTATTTTTTCAATATAAAGGAAGGGTACTGAGTTTTGTATATTAACCTTGGAAATTGCCCTCATCCTGAATTCTCTTATTGCCTCTGATAGTTGTGCATTTTTCAATCACATCATCTATGCATACTTTTGCTATTCTGTTATGGCTTTGTTTGTTTTAAGCAGGACTGGATGTCAAATATCTTTTTGGCATGTATTGAGAAGAAATTATATCATCCTTCTTTGATCTATTAATATGGTCAATTTTATTAGAGATTCCCTAATATTGTTGAACCCCCTGGATGTTACTAGGATGAACTTACTTGGAGGTGATAAATGATTCTTTTGAGACATTGTTGATCTATATTTGCTTGTATTTTATTTGAGATTTTTCCACCTCAGAGATTTATGTCTCTGACCTCAAGCTCAGTCATATTTAATATTATTCAGATTTTCCACATTCCTCCCTATCTTTCATTTTCTTGATAGGCCACGAGCTGATGGACTCAATTAAAATGTACTCTTGCCCAACTGGCGTGGTTCAGTGGCTGAGCATCGCCCTAGGATCCAGGAGATCATGGTTCGATTCCCGGTCAGGGCACATGCCTGGGTTGTGGGCTCGATCCCCAGTGGGGGGCGTGCAGGAGGCAGCCGATCAATGGCTCTCATCACTGATGTTTCTATCTCTCTCCCTCTCCCTTCCTCTCTCTGAAGTCAATAATGATATATTAAAAAATAAAAATAAATAAAGATATATATATTTTTAAAAGTACTCTTATGTTTCATCCAATTTCTACTTGTGTTTTCTGTATATTTTTATTCTCAACTATCATAGCTTACTCTTGATTTTGAAGTTATACTATTTGGTGTGTAGAGATTTCTAACACTAGATTCTAAACTAGATTCTTAACATGAATACTGTTCTCTCTTCTGTTTAACTTCCTTTTGTCTCGCTTAACATTTTTATTTTGAATTTAACCTTGACTGATGGTAGCCCTGCAGTCTCAGCTCAGTATCGTCTTATATATCTGGTTTACATTTTATCTTTAACTTTTCCAAGTTATTTTGGTAAAGATACATCTCTTCTACACAAAACACAATAGGACATTGTTTTTCAATCCAATGTGAGAACCTTTTTTCTATTATAAGGAGGGTTTATCCTATTTATATTTGTTGATATAACTGATATATTAGTCTTAATTCTGTCATCTTATCTTCTGTGTTTTCTATTTCAATGTTTCCTCTGTTCTCTGTTTTACTATGTGTATTTTTTTGTTTTCTTTGATATGCATGTGTGCGAGCACATGTGTTTGTATTTTTGCCTGATGATTTGAAGGTTTATAGTCTGCTTTTAATTTTTCTAGTGGTTGCCTTTATATTGAGTTATTTCTCTGCCAAGAGAAGAAAACCTTCATATGTAGGGAAAGAGTCAGATTCTCAAAGGCTGAGCCTTGGCACCACCACTCTGTCTTCGAATTCTTGATATCTTATCTTCAATGTGAAAAATGGTGATAGTCCTGCTCTGAAGCCAAGGGTTCGGGGTAATCAAGATTCTGAACATGCCACTGAGATGCTGCTTGAGCTGGCCACCTACGGCAAAGAGTGATAGCCACAAAGGGATGCTGTGTCTCATCTCTTACATCGAAACCTCATGTGAATATCTTTTCCCGAACAGGCAGCGTACTTTGCTTAACAGTGTCTCTTACTTGCTGTCCATCCCTCCACACAGTGTCTGAAAAGACATGGTTGGAGAGGACACAAATAGAGGGCATTGACCCTTCTTGCTATTTGTTTCTACACATACCGAGATCAGGGGCCAGATTGTTGCCTGACAGCTGGTGTTTGTAAATACAGTGGTGTGTGATTGGCGTTCAGATGCAAGTTTTGTGTGCGTGTGTGTTTTATTTTAAATCTGTGAATTGATGCTGCTTGATCAGTCAGTGAACTAACAGATAATGGCACCCTCAAAATAGGATGCTTTTAGGAAAGCTTATTTTTAAAAAAGACTATTTACAGACGTGTGGGTGTAGGAGCAGCCCAAGGAATGGTGCAATAACCTGCAGGAGCACCAACAAAGCTGTGATCACCAATAGGCCTGAGGGGGGAAGGGGAGGAGCGGGTCACCTGAAGGAGAGAACTGAGCAGACTGGGCTGGCTGCTTCGGGAGGCTCAGCGGCACCTCAATGAAGGGTCCATCCCACACATGGATCCAGGGGACTGAATGATCTCAGTCTCTTCCCTCTCCCTTTCCTGCTGGGGGTCCCCATGGCTAAGCCCAACTGGGATCCATAAGCTCATTCATCTTATCTTGCAAAGTTTTTCAGCGGTAAATAGAATAAAAAGTCATCAGGTACATTTCCCTCATGTTTTCTGCAAATATGTGGAGAGCAGCCACATCAGTGGTACACCCATTGGGAATGCTGTCAACTCCCAGTAATGGAGTGGCTTCAAACACGGAGGTTTGCTTCTCTACGGTAACGGGAAGGCTGGAAGTGGGCAGCCACCCGTATTCAGTAATGTCGGTGCTGGTATCTAGAATTTTCAGGCTTTACCTTGTGCTGGTGGCTTCCTATTTGCAAGATGACCTCCCAGCACCAGGCATCCTGACCATAGTTAAGTCAGGAAGAAAGGGGAAGTGGGGTCCCAGCATGTATGCCTATTTTAGAAGTGCCCTCAGCAGACCTCCCATCATATTTCACTGGCCAGAACTGGGCCTCGTGGTCTCCCATCCCGGCAAGGGAACATGGGAAATGGGCTGGCCAGGAATGCTTTAGACCACTTGTCATCAGTTGCCTGAGACTGGAGATCTCGGTGCATGGATCAAAATCAGGGATCTGTTATCAAGAAAGAAGGGCTGGGATAGATTCTGGATCCACAATGAACAAGGCTTGCCACAAGTGGTTTAATTCAACAATGAAGCCGATTGTCTGCTAGCACTCACTCAGGAAACAGTGATTGCTCTTTCACACTGTGTGCCACTGAGCCTATGTGACATCCAAAAGTGTTGTTTGATCGAGGAGTTTTGCCAAGAGTTTGCTCTGCTTTTTATCTGATCGTACTATTTCTCAGTAGCCTGTGACTCAACTTACAAGTCATAGTGGGAACTGGGTTGGTTTTCTCTGCAACTTTGACGACGCTTCTCTGGTTTTGATCTTTTCTCTGTCTCTAATGACAACATGCATCGGTGTCACACTGGACGTTATTACTTTGCACACTCTGGGGAGATCTGACTGGTTTCTTTTTAATTTACAGGGCCTGCTGTGACCATGATGCAAACGCCTCCGCGGGCTTTGAGCCACTACTTGGCAACATTGCATAATAGATGGTGCCTTCAGGACTTGAGGCGACATATCACCAGCGAACAAAATCCTATTTGCAGATATTCAGTCCCATCTCTCTTTCTGATTCGCACTTTCATTTTTCCTGCTCGTGCAAAATTATCTCATTCCACAACCTCATCTACGCTGGTATACATAATCACATTTTATGCTGCAGTATTTTTTGTTACTATTTTCAATACTACTTTTATGCTTTAATGAGCCTCTTTGGAACTACTGATCCATCTTTACGATTTGGGGCCATACTACCATATGATAGTCACAATAAAATGAAAATATAACAGATGCACGCAATAACATGAAAGTGGTGTAGACTAATATCTTAGCAAGTTGAACTACAGTTAATGGCATTCTCTTTACTAAAGATGAACTGAGCTGAACTGGCCCACTCAGTTCTGGTGGCAGAGGTGCCCCTACAAGGCCATGATAATGATTACAAAGGTGATGGATTTCTATGGAAATTTCCCCTGATCTCGTGTTTATGAAATGTACATGAATGAAACTGCTTGTCTGTATAGTAGCCCCTGCTGCACCTCACTCTGTCCCCTGGCACTCACAATTCTCACATGAGCTGATGGCTTCTCCCTGTAGACACATGCCACTCCCAGCCCAGGGGATTTCTCTGGCGTTAGGACTGTGCTCAGCTGGCACACAGGGCAGGCTGGAAGTGCCAGGGAGCTGATGCCCCTGGCTGCAGCCCTTCCCCTTAGTGGGCTGGGGCGGGGTGCTCTGAGGCTGTCCCACACAGCCAGCGTCCCAGAGGTCCCAGTGGAACTGAGCCGTAGTTGCAAACACTCCCCAGCACACCCTGGGTTGGTTCTCTTTCCACACTGTCTGCCTTTCCTCCACTAGTGCTTCCTGGGATCACCTGCCACGTGAAACACTCATGCTCACATCTTTGTCTCAGGGCCCGCCTCTGGGGAAAATGAGCCCACGGCTGGTTTTTCCTCTGAAATCCCCTTGCTGGTGGTGAGATTCATGAGCCTCACTTTAGGGAAAACTGCTCTGGACAACTCTGGTCATTTTGCAAAAGAGAAGACGGGCCTGGAGTGGGGGAATCTGATGTGCTCAGGGTCGCTCCATGTCAGAGGTGGCCCAGCTGGCTCTGGAGTTCCCTGTGATGGAGCCAGCACAGGAGGAGGTTCTGATGCCCTTGAGGGCTGTGTTAGGGGGTCTGACGGAGCTCCCTGCCCCAGGCGTGGCCTCAGGGGTCTCAGCCCTTCTCAGACATCTGGAAGAGCTACTGAGCGAGGACAGGACTGGGCAGGAGAGGAAAAAGAGAAGGGGCAGCTGAGGCTGAATGGGGCCTGGGCATGACCCCTCTGCACTTTCTCAGTCCCCTGAGCCCCTCCCAGCTTGTTCTCCAGCTCTTGTGGGTGCTCCACCTACTCCCTACCCCATCATTGAAATGAAGAAGCCTCCCCTCACCTTATCATGCACGCACACACGCACACACGTGCGCGCTCTCTGGGGCTAGACCCCACGTCTGATGGATTCATGTCCCAGAGAGAGCAGGAGATTCCTCTCTGCCTTGTCTTTCCCTGTTTCTGGAGGAAAGCCGGCTTTTTCTTGTGACCCTGTCAGCCATCGCCAGAAGAAGAAACTGGCTTCTAGCCCAGCTTTCTAAATAATATGATGATCTGTTCCAAATGCCCAACCCACAGACCTTTACTTAGTCCCAGTTGCCAGAGTGGGAAACCTGAGGCCAAGGAAGAAGTTGTACAGCGAGCCCATGATCTGACTCCCAGATGGCAACCTTGCCGTAAACTTACTCTCCTGGTCACCCACAACCCCAGGATGGGCACAGCCTGTTGGGGTCATGGTCCTGCTGGTAAAACCACTTGCCCTCCTGGCTGGGCCCGGCCCAGGTCCTCACCTCAGTTTCTATGGGGCCAACAGGGATGTCATCCAAAGGAGCTGGAGCACAAATGTCAGGGCCAGCTCCTACGAGAGGAAAGTCACTTCCCTAACCTTTGTGGACTCCGCAGTGGACAGGACCCAGATTCACGAGGGGAGCAGCGATGTGTGGGGGCCTTAATGACCCAATGAATCCCTGCCCTTCCACAGGGGCTGGGACTAAGAAGTGGGGCAATTCACTTACTAGAAGCTGGAGTATACGGGCCACAGTAATAACCCTACTAGCTGTGATGGTTTAAAAATGTCCACGCACACTCTCACATTTTTCTTATCAAAAGGGGGCATCTAATCCCTCTCCCCTTGAATAGAGGCAGCCTTGGTGACTTGCTTCTAATCAATAAATTGTGGAAGAAATGATACTGTGTGATTTCCAAGGTAAGTTAAATAAAAACGGTGAGGCAGCTACTGGCTGGCTTTTTCTTGGCACACTCGTGCCTGCGGCCCAGCCAGCACGTGGTGAGAAAGCCCGGCTTACATGGAGAAGCCATGTGTGTGTGTTCTGATTTCTACAGTGCCCCGGCCGAGGTCCCAGCTGACAGGCAGCACCAAACGCCAGCTGCATGGGTGAGCGTGGTTTCAGATGATTCCAACCCCCAGCCTTCGTGCCTCTCTAGTTATGGGATATTTTCACTAGTCCTGCCCATACTATAGATTCTTGAACAAAATAAACAGTGCGTGTTAAGCCACTAATTTGTGGGGGTGGTTTGTTATGCAGCAGTAGACAACTGGAACCATGCTAAAGTGAATTGTGTATTTACCAGAAGCCAAACATTGTGCTAAACACATTACACTGTAACCACATCTCACCCCCAGACGGTCCTGTTCGGTGGGTTCTGTGGGATCTGCATCTCACGGAGAATGGAATCTCTGAGTGACAGAGGAGCTTGTCTGGATTATAGAGCCTGCAAGTGGCAGAAACAGGACGGGAGGCAATGGTGAGCTGGTAAATGTTTAACAACCAGTTCTCTGGAGGGGGGGGTCATGATTTGCAGTGTTCGCCAATTTCCACAGTGTAAATTCTCCCATCACGGCTGATTTCAAGCTACTGGCACAGCAGGTGAAATTGGAAAGAGATGGGCACACTCAGCTCTCCAGGCAGTTGGTGGCAGCTCCAATCCACCCCTGGGTGCAGGCTGCCAGCCCAGGACCCCTGTTCAGAGGAGATGATGGAGAGAATGTGTGTAGTAATGGACGGTCAGGAGAGCCTTCCAGATTTCTTCCTTGAAATCCAGGTTGAGATGCAGAAAAGTCATTTTGTACATTCACTCATGCTGTTTACTGAACTACACCAAATACTATTCTAGTAATGGATCATTAGCGGCAAATAATACAGACAAGGTCTCTGCTTTCCTGGAATTTTCTATTTAGCAGGACAGAGACAGACTCAAAGGCTAGGGCATACTGAGAAGTTTGAGTAATTCTGGGAGTAGGAGATGGAGAGTGAAGTGAAGCCCAGGCTGAGCATGCCAGTCAGTCCCCAAGAGGGGAGATGGGCTGGTGGCTCCCTTCTTTTTCATGGCCCCTCCCTTTGGGGAAACCCTGAGTTAGAAAAGTCACAAGCTTGTTCCATTGGGAGTTCCCCCTCCCAGCCCATGGAAGCAGCCCCAGGAAAGGAGGGACACAGATTTCCCAGGGCTACCCCCACCAGCCCCATTCCCATGCCCACCCCTCCACCTGTTGAGAAGCTTCCTGTAGTTGTCCTGAGGCTCCTGATTGTCTGGTTCTACTGGGACCCTTAAGTGGGTCACCATCCTCAGCATCTGCAGTAGAGATAAGAACCAGTGCACAATCCTGAAATAAGTTTCACCTGGAGCTGATTCTTAACAGGAAAAGACAATGCTTCTAATCCAAAGGAGTCAGTGTTCTGCAGAGAAGTCACCTGCCTAAAGCACAGCTTCATCAGAGCTGTGGGGACTCGTTCCCCTCCAAGAGGACAACATCCAAGCGTGTGCAACTTCACCCAAGGAAGGGGATTAATTTTTGATGTACAAGGTTGCACATCTTTAAAGCATGGCATGTGACGAATTAAGTTTTCCTGACATCTTGGGTTGGACAGAGGGCAGGGTGGGGAAAGGGGCAAGTTATAGGAGGATTACAACGAGCAACAGGCCATGATTCACACTGGATTTCTGGTGTCACTGCTCCTAAAGCCATTGACAGAACTTGCACAGGGAGACCCTTCCAGCACCTCTGCTCTGGGCTGCTCTTCCAGGTTCCCTCAGTTCTCTCCCTCAAGTCCCAGTGCTCCCTCAAGCCTGTCTTCCAGCGATTGGGGAAAACTGTGGATCTAGTTTTTGTAAAATTGTATATTTCTTGCCATGGGAGAGACTTTTTTTAACCTATATTTTCTTTCCTTCGATAAAATTCGTACATAAAATTCATACATGTACATGGTTTAAAATATCCAAAGTGGAATAAAATGAAAAGTTAGGTCTGCGTTACTTTACTAGAGGCACTATAAATAGGTTTTTTGTTTTTGTCTTTCTTTTAGTCTCTTTCCAGAAACAGTCTATGTACATTACACACACACACACACACACACACACACACACACACACACACATCCCATCCTACCNAGTCTCTTTCCAGAAACAGTCTATGTACATTACACACACACACACACACACACACACACATCCCATCCTACTTGACCTATGGGGGGCATTTATCCCAGCCCTCCCTGTCCCTCCCTCCCTCTCTCCTACTAAACACACTTGTGTCACTTGGCTGTGACGTGGCTCTCGGTTCTCCTATCTCACCCATTGCTTTTTTGGAGGATCCTTTCCTGGTTCTATTTTATCTCTCAATCTCTAAATATCAGATGACCCCAGGGCAATGACTTCCGCTCCGTTTCTCTCTATGTCCACCCCCAGGTGGCCCCTTCTCCAGCCGTGGCTTAGCAATCACCCTCACTGCCGCCCCTGTGCTGGGTGAGTTCCACTTGCTGTTCCAGCCCCGCTCCCCGCCCTTCCCGCGTGCCCTGTGCCTAGGGGCTGACCTGTATGAGCCAACTCAGTGGCTCCCCTGCCCTTTGGCTTCCCGTGGGGCCTGACCACTGGCCAACACAGACACGCGTTTGGAGGGCGGGAAGAGAGTGAGGTGAGGCTGTACGTTCTTCCTGTAAGGTTACCATGGCTGCCCTCCTCCTCTAAGGGCCTCTGCTCTTGTCAGCATATCAAAAACAGGTCTCCTTCCTTGGATGAAATCACACAAGTTTGGATGTTGTCCTCTCACTTAGCTCCCTCTGTCCCCAGGTTCCAGCAACTCCCTCCTCTCACCGCTTCAGAACTATGCACTGTTACTAGCCCTGAGGTCCCGCATGGTCCTCACGGTTTCTCTATACCCTGTTACACTTCTGTAAAGAGTTC